ACACTAAAGGATTTGCTGAGTTATTCAATTTCCTCCTGATCATATACAAATGACAAATCTTATTTGACTTATTCTTAAGCCCTCTAAATCTTTCTTAAATTTAGATTATCTTTTCGAACATTGTTTCTTTTGAATGGTTATCTTTCCTGTTGATTTTTCATGATTCTGCTAATTAAGAATATCTTATTAGGATAGTAATGCGATTTTGGACAATCGTTAGCTAGGTGACTACTCGATTAACAGCAGAAACAACTGAGATTGATCAAATTGTACTATCCGAATAAGATTTAATCTCTGAGTTAGCAGAAGTATTGAAAGTCTAATGGGAACTACTATAATAACTAAATAAATTCCATTCTTTTAAGTTTATACAATTATGAAATCGATGTGCTTTTAGCTGACAGGGTTCTTGAATTCCCTGTTAAGAATCCTAATTCTCCAAACATTGAATCTTACTCTGCCTCATAAAAACTCATATCTTATTCTTCGAATTATAGAAACAATTGAATATGTCCTATGCTAACGCAATAGAGACAATCATCGTCGTTATTTCCATTCAAACTGCATAAGTTTTATTTAAAAACTATTTCACCATCGCAATACATCTATTCACTAATAAGATAGGCAATTTTCTTTTGAAAGCTTTTAATTTATTATTAATTTCAATACTCTAAAGAAAATTGACTGGACCAGAAGGTTCTTTTGAATATCAAACCATATGATTACATTATAACTTCATCCTTTAATTAAGGTCCCAATTAATTAATTATTTCAATCTATTCATTAAAATCTCTAACTTTTTCACTGAACATGAAACTAAAGAATCTCCTTACTTTCTGTTACGTTTCTTAATCGATCTATTTTTTTATAATAATCCGATTACATTTTTGTCCTTCATGAATCTATTAATGTCAGTCATTTTTTTGTCAAATTACATATTGTGCTGAGTAATTTCTGAAAATACATTTTAGAATGCACTGACTATCATAGCAAAGATAACACAAGCAAATATCATTGTTATGATTGAAACAAATATTTCTAAAGGGTTCTTACCTGTTACATCCCCATATCCAACAGTCAACATGGTTGTTAAAGCCCAATAAACTGAATATTCATATTTTATAGTTGCTGGCAGAGAATAAATATCATTTTGTAATCCAGATGAAATCAACCAAGATCCATAATCTTATCTTTAGTTAACCCAATAATCTCCAGCTGCATAAAACAAACAAGCAAACAAATTCACCAAAAAAAGGATTGTCAAAATTAATTTCAATATTTGGTAAAATGCCCTGAGTTTCCTTTGAACTTATAATAGCTATTCCACTTATGTATCCACCAAAGTAACATAATAATATTTGAAATAGAAGAGATATGGAATCCAAATTAAAAACCCATAATGATCTCGAAAAGATACTTATAAAATTAGGGCTAATATTGCAATTATATCAAATAGGAATTCTTAAGTAATATACCTAACAAATATGCTATGCTTATCCAACACCATCTATCCCTTATCGTAATACCCTGTATTTAGAGTAACGAAGATATCAATAAACAAAAAAGACATCACGATATACAAAAAAACAGCAAAATTTTCAATATGCAAATTCTCTGAGATGATCTAAAACTTAATCGACAATTTACTTCATATCCAAAAAACATAAGAATTGGTATTAAGTAGAAATAAATTATAACCATGAAGCATATAAATAGTCGCCAAGTAAATATTGCCCAATGATCAGGATTAAAAGAAGGAAATGTATTCAAATAAGCTTCAATACCATTTGTATAGCGTAAGAATTTCCTTGTCATAATGGGAACATCTTCAAGTTATGACCCATTTTCATCTTATTGAATATAATTAAAGGTTTGCATCTGGACATTCTTACCCAATTTATTAGTTTCTCCTTATGATTTTGAGAGTAGAGGTTGTTCCAGCGTAATGAACATTAAAAATTAATAATATTTTAATGCATTTTAATTAGATTTCATTTATCATTAACAATATAGAATTCTGTATGAAAAATTAAAGAACATTGACAATAAAATAAAAAGGAGGAAACATATCAACAAAAGTATTTTCCTATGAGTGTTTGCAAGGATTCCAATGAAATTGGCTTGGATACTATTTCATGCATACCACTCTCATGGGCTTTTTGGGCATTCTCTTATCCATTATAGGCTGAACACATTACTATGACTGTCTTTTATCGTTCTTTTCGAAGAATCTCCTAGATCTCTAATTAATTTATACATCAATACTTCACTACTAACCAAAAATCCATTCTTTCCAGGCATTTCAATATCCATAAAAATCAACCTAAAGATCTTACAACAGGTATTATGCAATTTTTGTTTCACTTTTCGAATAGCAGAATCCCCATCATAGGCACTATCTGCTTTCCATCCGAATGCTTATAATAGTGCGAACAATGCTATATGATTAAAGGGTACATCATCGACTATCAAAATTTAAGGACATTTGCATTGCTAATTTAAGAACTTTTTTGATGAAACATAAACTTTCTAAACTGAATCTTTAGAATTAGAAGCAATCTCTTCAACATCCTTTAGAGAAGGTTCAATCTCTTTAATTTCATTTTAAGAGTGTTCATCAATAGAGAAACTCACACTAGTGTAGAACCCTTTTTCACTTTTAATTTGCAATTCTCCATCTCCACTTAAATATTTGACTATCCCTTAAGACACTCTGAGACCAAGTCCTAATTTAATAGATCCATTTTATTAAAGGAGTTTATTGTTCACATTTAGTATTTATTCGCTGTTTATCCCCTCCCCATTATCCCAAACTGAAAACACATATTAATTTTCTTTTTTTTTCACTGAAAGCACTATTCTACCTCCTTACTTTGTAAATTTAACAGAATTACTTAATAAATTCACTAGAATTTAAGTTATTCTTAACTTATCGCTGCAAAGTTGCAATGAACCATTAAAATTCAATATCAATTCAATTTGCTTTTATCGACATTCTGATTGAAATAATATTTTTAAATCATTCAAAATCTCGCTAATACAAAATTTTCCTAAATTTAATTTGAAATCCTGACATTCTATTTATCCATAATCCAAAATATCGTTTATTTGTAATAATAACCTTTTGCAAGAAGTAATTGCAGGCAAGAGTAAGTTCTCATAGAGTTCCTCATCAATCTTTTTACTAAGTACCTCTAATAAGGGTAAAGAGCAATTTAAGGGCGTTCTCAATTCATGACTGAAAGAGTTAAGCAATGCCTATTGGAATTTGAACCTAAATGTAAGTTCTTTGAGTTCTTCTTTGTTCGTAATATTTTCTATCACAAACAAATACACTGGATCTTTAAGTTTCGATTGTAACTTGACTTCGTAGACTTTTATCTGATAGTGTTTCTTTTTGGATTTATGATCTTAAACTACATGGAATTGAAACATATGAGTGGTGTCTGATGTTTTAGATTGACTATCTTATCCGATACTCATCCTTCTATGAATGTTCGATTAGAACTCATTCATAACGAATTATACGTAGGAATAGATCACTTCATCATGAATGCTAGATTGGAAAGATTCCCTATACTTCAAATTGACTTTCAAGCGATCTGATAGCCAATTTGTTTAGTTTAAGGTTCTTCCTGAATTTACTTAACATTGATTGGCAGAATTTTGTTTTAGTTTTCTTAGAGGAACGATGGGGGATTTATGTTTGGCATGAAGATGGGTTTTAAAAGAGTTGAGCTCAGCGCTATATAAATACGGGAAAGATTTACTTGGATAACAATTAATCTAACGAATTTACAATTTAATCGGTTGATTACACCATTAAGTAATGTAATAGCTTTTTGTTGTGATGAAGCACATGATAATTTTTATCTATCAAAGCCAATCCATATGGTAGACAATTAAGAAGATCTTCGTCCAAAGCAACATTGGCGTTCTTTTCTGGGTGTGGCGATTTCTCCTCGAGCAGATCCTATTAGACTTGATCCCCGTAACTCAAGTGAGCAATGGGATTTGCTTACTTTTATGGAGGAGTGTTGGGACTCGTTGTATTCTTTTCTAAGGGTTATTTTTCTAAATGCAACAGAGTATGGTTGAGTGGTTACCAGAGAACAAACAAAATGAATTCAAACAAGGCAAATAGTGAATAAAATTAGATCATCATCCTTAAAAATATGTACAGGTAGAGTAAATGAGTCAAAATTTAATAACATTTATTGCTATTTCTCAATATGTTTTCAATTGTAAGTAAATAGATTAGGAGGAAAAATAATTGTTAATGCTTTGGACATTATAAAATATAATTTC